TCCCTTGTTTGTGTCAGGCCTGGACGTTTTCCAAAATCATCAATGGAGTTCCGCGTTCCTTGTGCATTTTTGCGTGAACCATGAAGACGGCATTGGTCATGCCTTGTTCTGCCCTGCGGTTGCCTGCCAGGCTCATGTCCCAGCATGGCAATCCTGAAATGTCCATGTCGATCGGATCAAACAGGTTGCAGTAATCTGCATGGGTGAAGCACCACTGTTTTGCCATCAGATTGCTGCGACCAATCGCAAACAACTTTGTCATGTAATCACTGTTTGGGTCAAATGACGCTGGTGGCAAGCAGTGCTCCAGATTCCCAAACACGCATGGACAGCAGGTTGCAAGAGAAGACACTTGCTGGGTCCACGCATGGTGGTCCACAATAAGTTGTCTGCATTGTGGGTCAATTTCCTTACATCCATCAGGCTTTTGCCGACAATGGGACTCAATAGGAGTCTATTAGAGGCTTATTAATGCTCATGTAAGGGGGGGGCATTTGGAACAGTGCTATAACAGTGCATTTGCCAAACTCTCCCAAACAAAAAGAAAATAGTAGAATGCTAATGTATTAGAGTACTACTCACCTAATTTTTTGTTTTAATCCATTTCCCCAATTGACAGTGTGATCAAAAATGCTGTCTTTTGGACCAGTGTCATGGCAGCTCTTGCTTACGAAGGAAACATTGTGAGAAAAATAATTGCTATCGTTGATGGTTTTCATCACAACTGCCAAGGCCATCTCGGCTGTGTAGGCGCCCGTGCAAGAGCTCGACACCCTCAACTTGGTAGATCCGAGGAAGGACTCCTCCCCAAGAACACATTTTGCCACCCTCCGCTTTAAAAGGCTTTTAAAACAAACCGGGGGAGGACAAGAGTGCGTGGTGACTTGCTTTTCATCAGTGACCCCTGACCTCAAGATCACTGTAGCTCAAGGAATGTTGCATTTGATGCCATCCAATTTGAAAGCATCGAGCTGCTTTTGCCAGTTCAGATGAATCACGCTGAAGCTCCTACATGGCAGACTCTGCATGATCTTGCCACCGTAGACAGGATGTATAATATCATTACATACTGTATATATATACACACTCATAATCCAGAGCTTGCTATCCCAAGTGCGTTTATTAGACCCCTATTAACACACTATATTGTACTTTTGCACACGCGTTTGTATGCGATTCAAATTTGTGTGGTGGTGGGCGGTCAAGAGTTCACAGCCACGCTCCTCCAGCGGCTCTGAGCTACAAGAGGACTTGTGTGTATGCGGAGGTGCATCTGACATGGACTCACTATGGCAAGTGATGGTCATCGCTTGCCCTTCCCCATCTGATGAACAGTTTGAAGCGTGCACTGATTCTGATCTTGCCCGCTTTTGACCCATCAGGCCACCGCCATGCTAATGCCAAGCAACTAGCTTTGAAACTTTGTGCCACGAATTGGCTAGCGGGGCAATTGGTACAAATGACAACTGGGATTCCCTTGATGAACCTTTGTGAATGCTTTGCTGGTAGAGAGCAACGTGACGCGGCCGAGCGCTGGGTTTCCCGGCCAAAGGCACTCCATAGCATCCTTTGCCAATCTGCGGCGCATAGAAGTGAAAAAGTTCTAGGGGCCGTCGCCCAATATTGCTGCCATCAAAATATACCTCAGGATGGACTATATGCACTACTACAGCGCCCCATAACTTGAAAAACTTACTTTTTGAGAACAAACAGAGAGGACAAACAATTGAAAAGCCCGACTAATTGCAGCATCAGTGTGCATGAAGTACTGGGCATTTCTGTAGTTCCAGCAGAGCTTGTTGGTAGTATGCCGCCTTTCAAGAATCCGTTAACACTGCGGGCGCATGCAATGGGTGCTTCTAATGGTGCTTGCTCAAACCATGCACTGAACATGACCCAAAAGACACTGAGCTGAACACACACACAAGTCTTGTGAACCAGGTGATGTCAAAGTCCGCCCCCAACTTCTGCATTGCCGAGCGAATTGTGATGCCCACGGTTCTCTTTTGAGCATCGTCCTTAGCAGGCAGCTCACCACACATCATTAAGGCCTTATTAGCTTTGTATTAAGGGCTTGTCAGGGCCTTACCGTGGAAGGAAAACAGCACCCCCCACTTCCCACACGGTAGCAAGGCCTTATTAGAGGCTTATTAATGCGTTACACTTATATACACCTATTCTCTCCGAAGAAAAGTGAGAATCCAGGTCCAAAGGAGCCGAGTTTCACCTGAATCTGCGTCTGACAAAGAGCCATCCCTGTTCCAGAGCATCATGGCAGTTGCACATGCCAAATCTCCGAACCTTGCTCTATAGTCGTGGCGGCTCTTGCACAAATGCTGTGGAAGTATTTCAGTGACAGTCTTGCTGACTTTGGTGATATGTTCGTCCAGAAGCCACGCTATTTGAGACAGAATGTAGTAGGCCAAAGGCCGCAGGCCTGGCACGCGCCTTGCAACTTCATTGTCTGGGTCCAAAGAAAAAGCCAGAAAATCTCCCAGCGTTGGGTTCGTGAAGCTTGAAGCCAGGGTGTGGGCACGATTTCCTGCAAACTTCCCCCAAGTGTTCTTGAGCGGCTCAATGTGAAGCGAAGGCCACACATTGCTTGGCATTAGCAGCTTTGAGTCAAATTTCACTTTGCGCAAGACCTGTGTCCCGATCTGAGCAAAGTTGATCTCCAAGCCGCATGTGCCGCATGCCATGACCACCAAAAGTTTCTGAAAGTTTTCGACGGTCTTCATCCTGTAGTGTAAAGACCTCTTGCAGTGGGAGATGCCCCAAACCATGAATGACACGAACATGGACGTTGTCACTGTAGCAGTCTCGTACCAGCCTGATACAGTTGGCCGCTCCGATTGTTTTCTGCTGTTTGGTGCCCTCCTCGATGCACGCATCACCGGAACAGTCCACCCTGGCCACAACTCTTCATGCGCAGCTGCAGCAGCAGACTGTTGCTCCTCAGTTCAAGTTGTTTCCAGGATTATAGAAGTCGTGCTTTTCCCCACTTGACAGGAATGGTTTCCAGTAAGAGGGTTCATAAAGTTCTTTCAACATGTATCCAATGCCCCTGTTTGCGTGCCAAGCATCATAGAACTTGTCTTTCAGCTTCTTTCCATTATGCCCAGGCCAAACCATTTTGGCAACTCCTTCGACAGACCATTGTACTTGTTCATCTCCTTCTGGATTGCACCAGCCAATGAGCACCATCCCCTCGTCCACAATCAACTGGCCTCAATTTCCAACCAAATTGTCAGATGGTGGACGCTCATCCAATATTTACCAAAGTAGTGGTTCGCAATAAGGCTTTAATACACGCTTATTAAGCTTCTAATGGGTTTCGAGGAACTTTGGGGTAGATCCAATTCCAAACTCTAAAAACCTCCAATAGAGTATAGACTCTTACCAAGTTGCACTTTCGCACTCCTTTTGGCAAGGCAGACTCTTCGTCCACGACCATATCCATGGCATGGTCGAGCTGTGTCATGCTGTCTTTCACATCGCACATTTACTGACTGGGATTTGATACAAACAGTTACCACCAGCAAGCATCTCACTTTGATGTCATTTGTCTCCTTTTGGACAAGTGTCACTTAGTAAGTTTTGTTACAAGTCGACTATTTAGTTCATCAACCTATGTACTTCTCCAGGCCACTTTCTCCTGGCTGCTTTGCAGCGGTCTGTGGCCTTTCTTGATAGTGGTGTTTCCTGATGCAGCGTAAATTGCCTACTCAACTTCAATTGGTGCAAAGTCTCAGCAGGTGAAGGTTTACGCCGTGTTTGTATACACCCGGCGTACTATTTTTGACGTGACTTGCCCCCCCCCCCTCAGCATTACCAAATCATGTTTTCCTTGTGGAATTCCAAGAAAGATTCCTGAATTCTGCAGTAGCAGGGTTTTGAACCTGTAAACGGGGTAAGGGGGCCATTGCATCCTTTCCAACCATCCCCACAACAGATTCCACATGCAGTGGATGCGGCGCCGGCGAGTTTCTTCCATGCGGGAAAGCACAACGACAGAAAACGGAATCCTAGCTGTAACCCGTTAATAGTCCTCTAATAAAGTTATCGACGACCATTTTTCAGATCCTTGAAGAGACCTTGCGGGCCGATGCTTCGTTTGTTGTATAAGGATCGAATAAAATTATTGTATGTTTATCATCAGAGTCATCATTTTAGAGGCAAACCGGCACGCCTTATTAAGGGTTAGTTTGGATTCTATTAGCGCTCTACATGTCCTTGAACAATAGCGATATATTAGTGCCTTATTAAGCCGTTACTAAGGACCTAATAGACCTATATTGATTTCTCAGGTGTTTGCCCTCTGAGGGGGGGTAGTCAAGGGGAGGGCAGTCAGCACACCCATGACTAGGCTTCCAACCACCATTAATTTAATAGGCTTTACCGAATCAACTAAAGATTTTACACTACGAAAACCAGGTCAACCATTGTTTTAATGGTCTTGGAAGTCTAGGGGAGAGATATGAATTGGGACCGGTAAAGTCTTGCAAGAGTTGTCGTGCACCCCCCACTGAGTGGGTTTGACAAATTATGTAATTACTGTACTATCATTTTCCTTGTGCTGGTGGGTGCGGGCACGTTAGGGGTCAATATGCTGATTGATGGATCTTGGGAAGTCTGCCTTTTCGCTTGGATTGCGCAAAGCTCAAGCAGTCCAATTGGTCTTGTGATCTTGTTCCCAATTTCTTCCAGTGCTGGTGGTTAGGAAGAAGTGCTTCGGAGCTAGGGTGATCCACATTCCATCATTTCTCCCCAACTTTAGGGAGCCAAGGAGTCGCCACGTTCGTTCCCCAACTGATGTGCCCCGGGAGGGAGTCAGGTCTTCCCCAAAAAGACGTCGTATATGACATCGGAGAGAAGAAACGAAGAAACCTTCTTTCAACTCCAATGGGTCCAACAAGATGGTCTTTGGACTCGGAGACTCGGAGGCTTGCGACTCCGGGCTTCCAGCATGCTGAAACCGCTCCCTCCCCACGCCCGCCGAGGCCATCGTGGCCATCGGAGCGCTCACCGAGACGGGCCATGACGTGGTCACCCAGGAACGAAGCCGGTCGAGGGCCAAAGGGTCAGACCGTCAACCCGGTCAACCAGCACCAGAGTCCCGGTAATGACGGGCGGTCCAAATGGAAGGAACATGGTTGGAACATGGTGTCTGCAAACCACCCGAACTCCGTGGTGCTGGAAAAGGACCAATGCATGGCCGGGCATGATGCCACATTCTATCGCAATGGCAGCGATAATCTCGTACGTACTTTATGGTTTTACAAAAAGAGACTTTCTTTATTGATCGATCACCAACCATGATCCAGTCCATCTGAATGTAGCCTATAGGTGCTAGGTCCGTGGCGCGCCTGCTGCGCAGCGTTTGTAAAATACAGGTGAGGATCCCAACGGCCGTCGGTGCAACGGAGCGATAGCGACGGGAGTACACGGAGCGGCGGGAGGGAATTTGGGCCTAGGGGCGAGTTGAAGGCCTTCAGGCCATCAGAACTACGTTTTTAGTGATTCTACTGATTCTACGATTTTCTCACTGATGACTGATGATCACTGATCTCTGATGGTCTGGTTTCTAGAAGTGGACCTGCTTTTGGGCAAGTGTGTCGCAAGAAGCTACTATAGTAACAAAGGGCATCGCTACGAACGGAGCGTTCGTTGGCTCCAGGAGCTGGCAGAGCTGCTGGGCCACGACTGTTCCAAGGTTCGCTGGGCAGCATTGGAGGCGTTGGCACAGACCAGTCGCAAGGGCGATGACACTTGGCAGGTGTTGGTGGTGAAGAGGTCGGAGAAGAGGTCACCAAATTCATCATCTTCATCCAAATGCCGCTTTTTTTTTGGGGATCGTTGGGGGGCATGGCTGAAACAGCGGAAGTGGGGTTTTGAGAGGTAGAGATCATTTGCGGTTTTGATGTCTTTTTTTTGTGGTGCAGTTTAGGGGTTTTGTTTAGTTGATGAAGGAGGAGTTTGGGATTCCAAAGCTATCAGGATAGCATTGTAATGCGGAACGAGCTAGCAAGAGACAGCCTCCAAAACCATGCAAAGCCAAGATGGAGCTGCTCCAAATGACTTCACTCATCTCGTCAAAGTTGTGGAGTTGTCCATTGCTATCCATTTGTAGTTTCGCTTCGTTTCGCGGGTACTGGGAGTACCCGCGCCCCTCCGCCCGTTCCCAGGACGCGGTGGTGGCATTCCTGGTTCCATGCCTCGAAGATGCGGACATTGACATCCGCACCGCTGCCGTGGATGCCTTGCGGCGAGCGACTGGGCCAGCCGCTTTTTTCCCGTTGAGTTGGGCGTCGCTCCCTGGGTGATGCACGGATTGCTTGGGGGAAACAAGTTCCTGGCGCCCCGCGTGCAAGGTTACCGGAAGATCCTTCTCATGGCGGGGTTTCCATGGAAAGTCAAGCCCAAGGCCCAAGGGGTTGTTGGCAAAACATCATGTCTTTGCACCGAGACAACCAGTCCCATCCAGTGCCCCCGGGCCCATGGTAGTGACTCCTTCGCTCATGCAGGCGGTTTGCCGCTAGCTGTTTGGCACGAGTCCCTTCACCATGTTCGTGACATGGCACCGCAGCTCCTTGAAAGCTGCCTCGTGCCCCCTGAGATGCCGAAGGGCAGGGCAACTGGACCCCAACGCCATCCGCATTTTCGTGAAGCTGGATGCGGTGCAAGAAGATGCGCTGCTGCACTGGCTTCGTAAGGTCATTGCACTGGTCATGGTCATTGTCTTCGCCGTGAAGCGCAAGAGCAGTGGGCCGCGCGCCGCGCGCGGAACGGCACGAAGTGCAGGAACTGGAACCGGGTTCACAGCCAAGCTCCTGGCCGTTGGGGTGGCCAGGCAGGACATTTTCTTGTTCACCACAGAGACCATGACAGAGGTCGCGCCGGATGCCTTGCTCACACTCCTTTACAGCAAGTATGCAGGGCGAAGGAACTATTTGATTACTGAACGGGCAGAGGGTGAGCGACGGCGGTGGTTTCAAGAGCTTCTGACTTTGGACGACAATGTGAAAACCGTTTGGATGAACGAGGACTTCCAACCCCAATAGCAGGACCACAGGACTTGTCATGTCGCAGGAGGGAGGAGGCTGGCCGCGAACTCGTCTCCCAGTGCGACCGGAGAGATGGACGTCGCCTTGGACCACTGGGCGCCACAGATGCTGGGCGCAGCGACTCAACTCGTGCACTTCGAGGAAAACAAACGCGGCTGGAAGGAACAAGCCCAGCAAATGCATTCTGTGAAAGCACTCATAACTTATAGTGGACAATTCATCCTGAATCCCTCAATTGATCTCCCAATTCTCCCAAATGGGTTGTATACGGTTGGGGGTTCAATGATTGATGCTAAAGTCAAGAATCAGATTGCCAGATCGCATCTGGAAAAAACCACCTTGTCAGTCTCCTTTCCTCTTCTCCCATCCACTCCATCCTCAGGTTGCCTTGCACGGCGACCCCGCGACGGTGCGTGGCGCCTCGATGCTCCTGGAGCACCGGGACGGTTCGGTGCGCGCGGGCGCCTTGAGGACGTTGTCCTGGGTGGCACGGGTGGGCGACGCTGAAGTCATGGCCAAGGTGCGACGCGGCGCGCGAGGACGGCGGACTTACGCGGACTTTGGGGTTTCTTTGGAGTAAAGCCGGTTACGGATGGTTGGTTTGAGAGGTGAAGGGGACCAAATCGTGAAATTGGGCGTAGCCATCAAGGTTGCGTTTCCTCCGCCAGTCCAGCAAGGATGTTCCAGGCATCTTTTTGTCCCTACATCCCTATGGCAGTGGAAACCTGTAGACATTTGCAGGACCCGATCCAAAACCTAAAGACGACATCCATGAACTCCCCAAGAGGAATTCTTTCTTTTCTTGACCTCAATCGTTTGATCCGCACTTCCATGCCAGTCTTGAACAAACGCCGTGATTGTGCGAGTTGGGTTTTGTAAGGAAGATCTAGCAAGATTATGCACTGTCAAATTCCACTGCAGGAGGCTTGGTTCCTTCACCGTCATTTCGGCCACATCCTGTCACAGCTTGAGGTCAAAAAGGGCCGTCACATCCTGTCTGTCACGTGGCTGCGCGGCTTCGACCACGGGGGTCGCGACCGCGGGGGTCGCGACCGCGGGAAGCCGCTCGCGGCTTGGACCGCGGTCGACGCGAGGCCAAGAGCTGCTTGGAGGATGGCGTCTCGAACGTCCGCGCGGCGGCGCTGCATGCCATGGCTGAGTTGGTGACCCACAAGGGCGACGTGGATGCCGGGGGGTCCCAGCCTGGGGTTTGAAGATGAGAAACTGAAGGGGAACCAAGCCTGCAAACATCTCCAAAAGCCAGATGCTGAAGAGTGCTGAAGCCCACCTTGGCCACATCGAGAAGTGCTCCAATCGATCTACTGTAAGCACTTGCACATCCCAAAAAGTCGGGCTATATACTCCTTGAAGTGATATTATGGAAGTGGAATGCGGAGGAAAATTGTCATCTAAGGGGCCAAGGATGCCCAAGGGGGGCCATGTTCCACTTATATAACTTAGTGTATAATTATTGCTTTGGGCTGAGGTCATTGCGCGCGTGGTCGGAAAGCTGAGCGACTCTGAGTCTTTCGTGCGAGGCGCCGCACTGGAGAGTCTCCTCAAGGCGAGCCAGCATCGAGTACTGTAAGATGGGCAAGGTGGAAGATGTCCTGTTTCTGGCCTCGCTGGGGGGTCAGCAATTGGTGGAGAACTCACCGATCTTGAAGGAGTTTTGCAAAACCTCTTTGAGTCGAAGTATAGCATTCAACATCATTCAACCAAAGGAAGGGAGCTGAGGGAAATCGGAGATTGGCCGCGCGGGTCTCAGAATCAGATCCTCATGATGCTCAACAGGTGGCCGACCAGGGCGATGCCACGGCGGTGCCGGCTGTCTTGGAGCTGCTGGAGCATCCGGATGGACGGGTGCGCTTGGCGGCTGTGGAGGCTTTGGGGTTGCCTGGCGAGACGGGTCAGACCAGGTGAAAGAACAAGTGGATGGGTCGTGGGTATGGGGCACCGCTGCAGGGTGCGGCTCCAGGTGCGCTGCTGCAGCCGTTGATACAAGGTGATGGGATGTCTGCGAAAGACTGGGTTTCATCATTTGGTATCCTTTTGGTGCGTGCCATTCTCCTTCGAATTCTGGGACTTTCGCCCCAGTTCGCCCCCACAGTCAAGCAACAGCAAGCTTCGCAGCGCTCAGCGCTCCCGTTCGACCGAGGCAGGTGGCTCCCAAGAACGATGCCTCCATCATCTCCACGGTCGCCGAGCTCATGGAAGATCGCCATACAGGAGTTTGCTGCGTCGCAGTGCAGGCGACGGAGTTGTTTCCTGTCCCTGGTAGTGTGCTGAAGGTTTTTCATTCATGAACTTTAGAGTGCTGCATCAAAGCCGAGTCTCAGCTTTTGACCCCAGCCACCTCCTCCTGCGAACCCACAGAAATCGACGCACCAAGCAACGAACACTGCCAGGTCCTGGGGCATTTGGGGGCGGGTGATGCTCAGTGCCGTCAGCTGCTGCTGCAGCGCCGCTACGACGCAGAGGCAGCACAGCCGGTGCGTGCAGCGGCGGCCTACGTACTGGAGGCTGGGGGACTGGAGGAGGTCAAGTGGAGCTCCAGGTGATTTGGGATGCAAAGCATTTGAGTGAAGTGGCAGGTCCATGATGTTGCATGATGTTGGTGGGCCCTCTCACAGAAGAAGATTCTGAGTCCTGAAACTTCCGATTCGTTTTAAAGTCGGGGTTTCTGTGGTCCGCATCCCTCGGAGCTGCTGAGGAAGGAGGATTTGAGTCCTGAGCCTCGGACTCGACGCGGCGGCTCACACCGGGTCAACCGCCGATCCATGCCTTGCAGCGAGCATGTTTAAAGTCCACTTGGCAGCCCACCTTGATGAGGAAACCCGCAGAAGATGGCTTCAACTCACAAAGCTCCACAGTTTGCTGCTGAGTCCTGCTCCTCGCCAGGGTGGGCCTCCGAGTTGCTTGTACAAAGGTCAATAGGTCAATGCGCATGATGTGCGCATCCCGAGACGCATACGTTGGCAATTTGTCCATCAGACGGCTATGGTGCGAAGCATGCCGCAAAGAGTTGGATCAAACTGGCCAACCTACTCGCGATGGCCTCCAACCCAATAGCCTTCAATAGCCTCTAACCCAGCAATGGTCTCCAACCTAAATAGCAGTGGCCTCCAAACTGCTCAATTGGATGCAAAAGGGCCTTCAGGATTGTGCAGAGCCCCCAACTGCTCCATAAGTGGAGCCCAGAAACTTCACTCTTCGGATCTTCGGTTTGCCCCCGCACTAACCAGGTGGTTTTCAGGGTCTATGCTTCACCTTCTCAGCGAATCCTCCTTCTGAAATCTGAGTTCACCACAGGTGACCACCGGTCGAGAGCGCCCAAGCGAGGTTTAGGTTCCTCGCAGCCCAAGCGAGCGAAGAATTCCATTGTCCTCCTGGCATGTGTACGGAGTCTCCGGAGGACATCGGTGGACGGTGGCGAGGACATATGGTTATATATGGTTTTCTTCGGACGGGGCCGCCGTTCGGTGAGAAGCTAACGTCTCTGAAAAGGTGTCTTGACACGAAACGGGTGCTGTTGGTGTCTTGACAGCACGAAAATCAACGAAAAAAATCAGCTCACTTGAAGCAACATATTGGAGTTCTTTTTCTTCCTCCCCTGGCCATGTTAGTCATTCCTCAGTTATGAGATGTTATGGGCTGTTGTTGTTGGCCAGGAACGCTTAAACCAGAACCAGCGGCTTGCAGGGCTGCTGCCGTGGCCTTGGAAAAGGACACTCCTTTCAGTTTGTTTGTGTCAAGTCCCGACCCTGAACTCATCGGGGGATCATTCCTGCTTGGATCCCCTCATGTGGGTACAGATGCTTTGGGGGGCTTTGAACGGTGTTGCGTTGCTGGAGGGCTTGCCCTCCCTCCCAGAGAAAGAGGGCAGAACCTGGTAGAGTTTCCACATGTTTCCACGATCCTGCCCTTTGTTTTGTCTTTCTTTGCGATGTTTGAGCGGTTTACTAGTTTACTGAAGCAAATCACCCCTCTCCACACAACGTGTGTTCGTTCGTTGGTCATCACGAACAGGGACATACCTGGCCGCTGCCCATGTCGCCCATGTCGATGCCAAGCTGGTGTTGAGGCTCCCTGGAGCACCTTTTGCAAGCTGCTCGGACGAATGGGAGCAACCGGGAGGAATGAGCGGTGGCAAGCTCCTTGGACCTGGGCCACGCCTCTTTTTCTGGATATGGATGAGGGGCGCACTGGTCGCACTGGTGAATTTGGGGGCTTTTTCCACTGTTCAGACGGGCGGGACCTTCTTGGCTCTGCAAGTATTGGTCAAGGGCCTCTGCTGCACCGGAAAGGGGTGCTTAAGGATGAATGTCAGAGTGATCAAATCACCGAAGGTAATGTTGGGCTTTCCGAAGCCGCCAGCTGTTTTGGCTCGTGATGGTTCTCCAGATGGCTGGATGTTTGTGGTTTGGGCCGATGTGGAGGCCAAGGAATCACATACTTCACCAAAGAGATCCGCAAGACGAGGTCCCTGCCTCATTGAAATCTTACAGTACACAATGCATGCAAACAAGATTTCTTGAGGTGGATGGTCAAGTCTCTTTTTGGCCCGCGGGCCAGCTGGTAGTCCGGACCCACACCCACCTTGCTGAGAGGGTTCCCCACGTGCTTCCGAATGATGCGCACGACCGTCCGGCGCCCCAGCAGAGAGCAAACGAAGAAAGACTTTGAATGAGCTACTGTACTACCTTCCCACAATCATGGAAGCTGACCAGGACATCTTGTCGCAGAAAATGGTCTTCTAAGGGCCCCTGTTCTACGTCCATGATTGTTTCAAGGAGTGTTAAAGCATTTTGAAGCTTGTCTTTTGCCACTGACAGTGTGCGAGTGCTTCATCAGCTTTGGGGCTCAAAGAGATCAACTCGACAACAGCGACAGTTGCCATGCCTTCAGCTTCCACCATGGCAGTGGCCTCGGCCAGTCTCGCAACCTTGGCGTTTGTCTCCCCGACAGTGGCGCCACACACCACTGCTGCGCGGAGCGCCTCCGCCTCTGCAGTTGGGGCTGCCAGCCAGGGCCAGTCGGGCTATGCTGGGAAGGCAGCCATGGCAGGAGCGAAGCCATATCACATAACTCGGGGGGAGATGCTCCTTGCAGAAGGAACACCAACCGCTAAGTTTCAACTTGGAGAAGAAGGAAGAAGGGAGAAGGTGCTAAACCCAAAGAGGCGAAACAAGTGTGATGCAGGCACATGGGAGATTCCGACCAGAAGAACGCATCTCCAGGAAATGGATGTCCTGGATCGATTCCTGAAGCCCCACGGAATCGAAGCCCCAAGCCCCATGGATCGAAGGCCCAAGCCCCATGGATCGAAGGCCCAAGCCCCACGGATCGAAGGCCAAGCTGGTTGGATCGCCCCGGCTGCTCAGGAGCATTGGGTTTGGTGGCCATGGCCAGCTCGCAGCGGAAGGTGAAGAGCACCCGGGCCGCCCGTGTGGCCATGAACGCTGCCAAGGTGGACTCGGTGTGCATCCTGGGATGCTCCGGGGCTGTTGGCCAGGAGATTGGGGGGGACAACTGCCACGCCAGTGGGGAATCCAAAAGGACTCAGATTGGAGAGGTTGGTAGATGAAGCATGATGAACCTGGCAGGACTTCGTCCTCATCATTACATGATCATGATGGAGCTTGAACACCAAAAAACATGAAAGAATCCAAGACCCTTCAACAAAAGCCAGCGATGTTTTTTAATTGTCGGTGGGCGGGCGCTCCGACCTTCGCCAACTGCTTGGCAGCTTCTCCTAGCATGAATCGCCAACGGAGATACTTTACTGACAACGCTAGCCTTTTGCACTACACAGCAAGAAGAACGAATGCCACCCACGGGCCGCATGCCCCGCACGGAGCATGCCTCCGCAGGAGATGCTGAAGTGTCTGGAGGACCGGGACTTCCCCACGGAGAAGGTGCGGCTCTTTGGGAACCGCTCGGCCGGCAGCACCGTGAGCTCCAAGAAGTTCGGAGACATCGCGCCTTGGGTCGAGGGGCAGGTGGGGCTGAGGGGGGCTGTTGGGTGAGATGTTGATGGATGTTGTAAACTGCAGCTGGAGCACCATGGGGGTGTGCTTTTGGTTGCTGCGGAGGAAGGTGCAAGAGAGGTCATCCTGGGCCAGACTATGGATTCTCAATGGTTCTCATGTTCTCAGAAGGAAAGAACTCTTGCAAGTCTAGCAGCTGGCTCCACGCAGTCAATTCATTTATCCATGAACCTCTGACTCTGAGGTGGTGGAAAAGTGGCCTGGCGGCAGAAATCGCAGGGAAGTTGGAGAGCAGGGGGTCCAAAAAGGTCCTTCTCTCGAAATTCAATTGCACCAGAATCGACTGGTTTTGTGGCGGGTTGGTTCAAGGGGGTCCGGTTTCGTGATGTGATTTTTGCATATTTTTCGTTTCGATGTTAGGGCGTTTCAGAATTCCATAGAATTCCAAATTCTTGGAGGCTACTGGACACATCTGGCGTCATTGCCGCGAGAACGCATTGGCTACAGCTCCCAGGTTCTCTTTGGAAGCTGTGCAGGAGTGCGACATTTGCCTCATGGCAGTCTCCGGAGACTTTTCGAAGGAATGGGCACCCAAGATCCTTGGCTGTACGTCCAGCGGGGCTAAGCACGACGAACATTTTGAGCGGCGAGCGGCAAGGAGGCGGACTGGATTTGGTGCAGAGGCAACAGGCTGTCAACATGGACGTTTGCAAGTTGAGAGGGTGACAGTGACGAATGAGAATCAACCCACGTGGAATGAGTCAGCCACAGGGTGCAGCAATTGCCGGTCATTTCATTTCTGTTTGGTTTTGCCGGGATGTTTGTGCTCAATTCCAAAATCTGAGCGCCTCAGGATTGCAGGCGGCCCCAAGAACACGCAGGTCATTGACAATTCCAGTGCCTGGCGCTATGACGAGGTGCATTTTAATTATCTCTATATAGCACCTTTACAGTCGTGTGGATGGCATGTCTAAGTGGGTTTGGCGGATGTTCTGGGAACGCAGGACAAACCCCTGGTGATCCCAGAGATCAATGGCGAGGGGAGGGTGGGCGAGCCGCTCATCGCAAACCCCAACTGCACCACTGTGCCTCGGGCGCCGGACACGTGGCGTTCGACCGGTCATGCGGGGACGGGGGAGGCAGGACGGGCGAAGCTGGTGAAAGCAGGAACTCGACCAATGCCTCCAACCTAATAGCGATGGCCTTCAACCAATACTGTAGGCCTCCAACCTCATTGCATTTTGAGTTCATTTCTGAATTTCTTTCTCCCCCCTTTGAGGGGATGTGTTTGTGAAGCGGCCCTCAATGTGTTTCTGAACTTTGATGCAGTTCTTTCAGTGCCACTCGAACAAGCACCACGAATTAAGTATGTGCAACAAACATGTCCATTTCGATGCTGACCTCATCTCAGTCCGACGTGCAGGTCCTACTGCAGGGGGAGGAGGGCAGAAGCTCCACTGTTTAGTTGAGCCCTTCGGATTTACACATGTGATCATCCCATTTGCGTGGCCAAGGCTGTGGGCGCGATGGCCTTGTGGCCAATCCATCAGAAGTACAAGCTTAAGAAGGCGCCAACTCTTTGGAACAAGCAGGTTGATCGAGACACCCCTAGCAGCTACTTTGAAGACAAGCACTGCTTGGACCTTTGAGTTTGATCTGTGACCAAAATGATCCATTGCTCAAAGCGCATTCAGAGTGCTCCTGTGAAAACGATCCTGACTGAACCATTTGTGCAGGCGCACTAACGTGGTTTCTTTCGTTTGGGCACCAAGAAGGGCCCAAGCAAAGGGCCCAAGGAACTACCCACACGCTTTTGGTTTTCTATTTGTTTGTTTGTTTGTTTGTCTGTCTGTCTGTCTGTCTGTTTGTCTGTATGTACATTGTACCACACACACATATACAATTACACTGTATGTATGTGTGTGACGTGTTTTTGTTCAAGGGCGAGGGAGTCTGGTTGGGGAACTTCTGGACTTGGCAGGTGCTGATGTCCACCTACCAAGCGGCCAGCGGCGCTGGTGCCGAAGGCATGGCCGAGTTGGAGAACGGCGCCATGCCAGAGAAGTGCAAGGGGGTGCGGCACGGAGCAAAGCGCGGGGCGCAGGAGATGGAAGGAGTGGTTGGAAGCACACCGGGAGACCAGGGGGGTAGTGTGTCGGATGATGGCATAGTGGTCGATGTAGTAAATTAGAGTAGTTTGCTGCGAGCTGGGTCAGAGCTCACTGAAGTTTCGACCATGGTTTCGAGATGGGAAGGCTCCGGGAATGATGGCCACACTCACATCGGGCAAGGAAAAGAAAGAGATCTTCCCATACCCCCCTTCTGGCGCAACAAACAGCACCAGGGCAACCATCCATACCGACGGGCCATGAATGACAGGTTCTTAAAGAGCCTGAAGGAACTGGAACGAGTGAACAGTGAACCGTTCGGTCAGTAAAATGCTTTTTCGAAGTACATAGGTCCGGTGCTTGCGAAAATTGCCTGCTTCGTTACCCCTACGCTTCCAACCACCATTGTTTCACTGGTTTTTAACCAACAAACAACTCATTGTTTCACTATGTTTCACTAAAGATTTTAAGAAATACAGAACCAGATCAACCATTCTTTGAATGGCTAGGGGTTCCTTAGAGGCTCTTCTTCTCATCCTGTACCTTTGCTTCACCCTTTGTGGAACCCGAAAAATCCTAGGTTTGGCGACCTGGGTGAAGGATGGCGCGGTGCCCAAGCCCGAGTTCTTCGCGCACCAGCTGCCCTTCAATGTGCCTTTAATCGCACGAAAAATGGTGCACATGACATGAGTGGGTTCTTTCAGCCGCAGAGAGATGTTGTTTAGGCTTGCTCAGCCTAATTACCAATTTTTACACGCCCATGTAACAGGTCTCCGTGCTTCTTGTCCTTCTCCTTCCGGTCCTCTTTTGTTTTGGCGCCGCGAAAGCTAGACAGACGGTGGGAGGGATCGCATCCCCCTTCCTTTGGACAGAAGGAGGGGATGCTGACAGGTTTGGACTGGTGATGGCGGTCAATGGCGGTCATCCACTACTTGCTACTTCTTTTTTTTTTCAGGGCGCTGTCTTCTAGACCACTTCTCTTGCGGCTCAACTACTAAACTTGATGGGTGACAAATGCGCTCATAATCAGTCTGGTGCAGTTATATCGGACATGGGTGGACATGATTCTGTTCTTTGGTGAGGGCAGCAGATTTGTAGCAGGATGGGTTGATGCGAGCGCCGAATATTTTCCTCTGCATGCTGTTAAATGTGTGCTGCCCTCTCAGCTATGGCCTTTTGATCACCTCAGGTGATCCCACAGATCGACAAGTTCCAAGAGAACGGCTATACCAAGGAAGAGATGAAGGCACGCACCGTGGCGTCATGAGGAAGACCGAAGACCGGTCCTGGCATGCGTCAGTCATTTAAAAAACAGTAGTCTAATGTAGTCTATACATGTGTGTCATCTTGGTGGACATCTCATAGTATCCACCGTCCCTTCGCTTGCACAGTAGTCTATTTCTCATTGACTCACACATGTGGTCCGACATGAATTTCACAAACACATATGGTTGAGGAGTTGCTTTAAAGAGACCCACCAAGCAACACCGGCGTGAACCCTTCAACCTCAAGGAGCCCTCCAGCCTGTTGAGTTGACGGACGCAGCGAACTCGGCCTCAGGTGACTTGGGAGTTGCAGAAGATCTTCGGCCTCGATGCTGGGCGAACACATGCCCAGGGAGAGGGGGAAAGAGAGAGAGAGAGAGAGAGAGAGGGAGAGAGAGAGGGAGAGAGAGCAACAGCACGTGTCCATCTTCCCTGCTTTAGCCGATCGGACCGAGAATCAAATGTTCATCCACGGTCCCCAGCCCTTGAAGATTTGGTAAGGCTTATTCCTGGCCTTTCATGGCCCTTTGCTAACCGCCATGATCATCAATTTCTAAACGGACACAAGCATGGTCGTCTGGCAGATCGATATGCTTTGCTCCAGCCCTTTTTCTCTATTGGTAAGATGGAATTACCGTGGTTTCCAGAGTAGATGGCACCACCCCCAAAGAGTGTCTTTTCTTTTTAAATTGGGGTTCACATAAAACACATTAAAACACAAAACTTGAGGTAACTTGTGCCATCTACTCTCAATCCACTTGACCCGTGTGACCCACGTGACCTTTGAGGATGATGACGTGAAGGTGGCCTGCACGGCGGTTCGAGTGCCGACCCTGCGAGCTCACTCGGAGTCCATCACTGTGGAAACCGAGGAGACCGGTCTCTCGGTGCCGGTGACCGAGGGGTTGGAAGGAAAGGCCACCTGAACACGTGAAGCTGAAGGCTCTAGACTCTACAGGTTCCCCCTGCCAGTGCGTGCGCAGAATTCCGGCTGAGAGCCGAAAAGAGGTTCCAAGTCTTTGTGGAGATGTCCAGGACGATTTCGGGCTGGGTTGAAGAATAGGATCCGAGGAGTGTGATCATGCAGCTTTGGGAGGGTGGGTTCTGAATAGCTAGTTGCCGGTTCTTCGAATCATTCGAGATTTCGGGGGGTTGTGCGGCATCGTGACTGATCATGGGGCCCAGGTGCCTAGCAAGCGACCAAGCTCCCTCTCTCTCTCTCTATTTGTAGAGTCTTTATATGTCTTTATTCTTCATGTGAGCATATACACACACACACATATATATATATATACACACTACATTATGTAGAAATGCATATAGTATATATGACTACGCCATATATAATAAATGTACAGTAACTCTTTCCTGGGAATTTTGAGGTTTCAAGTTTCCGGCAGTTTCCCTACTGATCTACGCCTGAGCAAGTAGACTAAGGAGGGTTACCCGTGCGTTACCCCACCAGCTCTCCTGCCAGGAGCCCATCAGCCCTGACGATGTTCGAGAGCTCTTGAAATCAGCTCCAGGTCTAAACCTGAGGTTGTTACAATTATGCTTAACCACTGGATCTACAAATCTTTTGGGAGGTTCTCCAAGCTTGTTGGGAAACCTCAGGTTATATTGTAGACTCTTCTGCCCAGAGCTGGCGCAGAGAGAGAGAGAGACAGAGAGAGAGAGAGAGAGAGTGTGCAACTCTTTGCCCTCTCTCCACTTGTTCGACATGAAACTACGCTTTGTTTTTCCGCTCCAGGCGTCAAAGTGGTGGATGAGCCTGGTTCCTTGAAGTATCCCATGCCCTTGCCACTTGGCACTGATCCTGTGGGATACATTGGGATACTGTAGGGAATGGTGGGGGCAAAGGCGTTCCATTGGAATTGGGATGGGAACATTCTCGGATTTTGGGGTCACCCGTTGTGCGTGCCTGTTTCATTCATTGGGACTGTGTCAAGTAAGGGAATGGGTGACACGCAAATTGCCGTGTGTTTGAGCTCAACATTTTCAAGCCTAGATCTTCATAGATCTTCCACATACAAGAAATCATGGACACTTGCTGACTTGCTTGGGGTCCTGCCTTTGTTGCAATTTTTCTTCCTGAAAAGGAATGCAACCGGGAACTACGATGTGGAGGTGGGCCGCATCCGCCAGTCCATCGTCTTTGGGGAGAAGGGCATTGAGTTCTTTGTCTCTGGCGATCAGCTTTTGCGGGGTGCCGCCTTGAACGCCGTGATCATCGCCGAGAATGCGGTGAAGGCGCACGCCTAGGGCATCTTGGCACTGACCAGAATTTGCATCTTGGGGATCGTTTGGGGCTGTTCTGGAAACTTCATACCTTTGTGACAAGTGAGCTTGATGGTACGGGTCATGAACCCAATCATTGGCATGATTGTTTCAGTCTTACGCAGAGCTCAGGTTTGTTCCATGCTCGTTGGCATACAGAACAACTGCGGCCAGCCCACTAGTTCATTTGGGCCTACCCCTGCTAACCCTGCACTTGTGAACTCTGTGCAGCCCTTCCCACATATCCGAAGTCGGTGCACAGTGAAACTCCGACAGCACTACCCATAGCAAGGGCTTCGAAGTCGATGAGCACTTCAGACAATCCTACCTAGAATCAGAGCGGAGACGGAGAGGGGTTGGGGGGGTATAATAACCTGCCTAGATCCAGTAAGCTCAGAACTCAGAAGCTCAAAATCTTAAAGTAGGACCTGGTGATGCTGAGTGGTGTTGTGAACCCCAGCGACATGCCCATCGAGTCCAGCTCTAGGTCAGGAGATAGCGAGAACATGGGGCAAGCTAGGCCACTTCATTACAAAGGGGCCCCCTCTAAAGGGCGTACGGCGTTTTACACATGCGGTACGTGGATGCTCATAAGGTGAAGCTCTGGGAATCCGAGCGATGAATGAAGCGATGAATGTGTATGAGTTCTTTTCACTCCTGACTTTGCGACAGCCACTTGGCAGCCTCTTCGGTGTAGCGGGTCGCTTTTTTTGTTAATGACCCATTGCAGCATGCTAAATAGAAGTCTGCAGGACTGCACCACCCCCGCATACTGCTATTCCATTTTTTTCACCCTGATGTTGTTGGTTGGCCCACTCATCAGGTCAATATTAATATATAATTACATATATATATATATATTTGCACATGTTTCGTTCAACGTGGCTCGCATGCCTCACGCCGGGCTCGGAGCGACAGCTTCATGTGACCCAGGTCCCAGTGCCCGGCGCTGGCTCATCGCGCAATCCTTCAGTTTTGATCGGATGGTTTTCTCCATGGGCATTGGGCAGCCACAGTGACACAGCACAGCTGGGGCAACTAAATCTGCCTGTTCTTGTGCCGTGAAGCCTGACAGGTGCTCAAAGTACCCAGAGTTTCTCAAGACTTGTTGAGTTCTGCACACCTCAGCAAAGATCTAATTTTGCCCAGCGGTTGTGGTGACCCCTTGAACTTCTCAACAATCTGGCGCATCAGATCACAGCGTAGCGGAGCGAAAGTGGTCACCAAAGTCTTGTTACGCCTGGTGCAAGCCAAGCTGGCTCGGCCAGTTCCAGCTTGGGAGGGTGCCGGATTTTGTTTGACCCGCGCAGTTCTGGTGCGAAAAGGGTGCACGCTGAGGGACTCGCGAGTCCGCGCGCGAGGGAGGTGGATGTGAAGCGTTGCCAGTTGATGGACTCTTTGGCGTGATTGTTGTTCCACTCATTTTCAGCGGAGCGGCGCTGCGTGTGTAGGTGACTTATGAGTTTCCGCCTCTTAGTCTTCGGCACTTTGCCGCTCAGGCCTTCATGGGTGTCTGCAAGTGAGTCGATCCGCCAGCATTTCAAGCGTTAATCAACCTTTTCCACAGGACTTCCTGGCATTCTGCACAGTGCTGGATGTTTGAGTATGTTCTAGATGATTCTTGTGAACTGCAACAGTGCAGCAGATCGATCCTGCGATGGTTTCACGTGAGTGGATGCGGGATCAAGCGGCCGGAGAGGTCTCAAAGGTGGCAGCGGCCGGATCGGAAGTCTGTCTTCCACCCCTGTTTAAATGAACAATACAGTCATTGTTCTAAATAGATTTGAAGGTCTGAAACAGACGATTTCTTCAGAATCTCCCACTTGGCGGACGTTTGGTTGCGACATGTTGCGACCTTGGGAACCTGTGGAGCACTGGACGAGTGGCCGCCGGAGACCAGTTTCCACCTGAGGTGTCGTGGGACCATTGGTGCAAATGAAGGAAAGGCTACTGCAACCAGCCTTCAAACTTCAAACGCCTCAAAAAAGACTTGCATTTAATTGCATTTATGGAACACTCCTACACAAATCGACACAAGACATCATAAGACTCAAGCCATGACCTCGGTGAAGCAAAGAGTACCCCCTCACCTCTCTTTATATTGCCCATATATGTACATGATTACATTCCAATGAGACGTTGTCACCATGCCGGGTCGTCATCCCCCAATGCCCGCCCCACATGTTTTCGAACCCAAAATGGCATAGGGCCTCCCTTCTGACCATCCCGGATTTATATCTACCAACGCTTTGTCGATTGAACAAACCTGCTTTGATGCCATGCTTCTTCCGGCAAATTGGAGGGAGGGTATGCTAGCAGCACCAGCCAAAAGATATTAAAAACCATAGAAGCTCATCCAAAAACCCTTCTCCAGGGCAACAAAAGCAGCCAAAAGCCTCCATGTCTGGTCCATGTCTCGTTTCGAGAGAACCCCTGGGGCAGCCCTTGGACCTGCCATCCTAGATGCTCTCTACGCCGACATCTCCGAGTCCTCGGCAGCGGCCTCCAAATGGGTGGGGCCCGGTTTCGTCCGCGCTGGGCGGGGCGAGGCGAAAACCGGTCTCCAGAAACGTGTCAGAAAATCGGACCAGCAACTGGCCATTGGAAATGGGCCTTAGGCTCGCCACTTGTGCAGAGGGCGAGGGAGAGGGAGAGAGAGAGAGAGTGTGTGTGAGAGTAAGAGTAGAGAGTGAGAGAGAACTGGCCATTGGTGTGCATGTTGCACCCCCTCCTTGAACTTGGGTCTTCTAAATCTTTGAAAGCCAAGACCTAAAAGACTCGCAGAAGCGGGGGAATCTCGTTTCGCTATCTGGTCCCTCCCTTGACGCTGCGTGGTTCAGGACCCGCTACAGCGTCCCAAGCCGAACCCTGAGGCGCGAGCTGAAGAGGGGGTGCCTGGGAGGAACAAGGAACTTGTGAAGGGTGGACGAAGAGGGACGCCCATATCAACTTCTTGCATTCGCTTGCTTGCTGAGTCAGGCAGACATCAGCAAAGCCTCCCGGGAGCCGGATGTTGGGGCACCCCCGTGCCCTGGGCGGCGACCCGAGGGTCTTGCGGCGCGACAGGTCGGCGCGTCTGGCGGACTGCGCGGACGGCGACCGCTCATTCCTCGCAGGTACAGTCCCAAGGGTGAGCTTCCGGACGACACGGAGAGTGCCCTGCTCGGAAGGGGGAAGGGGAAGGGAGGATGAGGGGAGGATGAACGTGGACTTGGCGCATGCGGAGGTAAGCAGTTGAAAAGGGGGATGGGCACGACCATGGAAGGGCTTCGTTTACAGGGGACCTAAGTGTGGCAGTAAGAGCCCCCGTAGATGAAATAACCACGGGGCATCAACTTTGTTCTGCGCTTCATCCCCTGCCGGACCCAGGCTTTCCGCGTACCATGCCTGGGCCGCCAGGCATCAAGCTGAACCGCTCGCAAGAGGCCGCGATGCGGCTGGTGCTTGAGAGGCAGGAGACCCGCACCCACGCGAGCCCCACCACCAGGGCTCCACCCAAGCCCAAGTGAAAGTTGCTCGGTTCCATGTGGGATACCCACTCAATCTACACAGCAAGAACTATATAGACTAGAAGACCCATGTATGCAGCGGCTGATGTATGCAGCGGCTGGGGAAGGCCATGGACCTTTGCCGATGGGACAGCGACCACCTGTTGCTCTGAGCGAGTGATTTGAGAGAACCTCACATGTTCCGGGCTTGATGTGGTTCCTCGTTTCCTTATGCATATATCACCAGCACATTTTCGCCATTATCCAAATGGCTTCCCGCCGTGCCAGGAGAAGACGCTTTAGCCTCATCCAAGGGCCTCCAGGTGAGCGTCATGTCATGCCCAATCAATCCAGACTGACTGACCCTCCTGTGCAGGTGCAACCAAGATGCATCCTTGTCCTATCAGGGACCAATCAGTCCTAATATGAACAGTGAACCACCGTTGCAAGTAGGTTTTAAAGGTGCCCTTCCTGTACCAGGTGGTTGCTATGTCGTCATTTTTATTTCCTTTTCTGAATGGAGACATTTCCACACAGCAAAGCATCCAACTGTCAGACATCCAAGCTGGACGTGCGTTTTCCATTCAGCGACTAAGGACTAAGGATCCAACCAACCAGCCAAAGAACCAAAGAACAAAAGCCCAAACCTGCTCCAGGCACTGGCAAAACAACCACGGCCGTGTCAATGATCTGTGGATGGTTGAGGCACTTCGACGTGAGCTTCGTCGTTTCAAGCGGCGACATATGGGGTCGACACACACACACACAAACACGCACACACTCACACCCAGTGGGTCAGCGTAGAGATTCTTGAGCAGTGCGTTTTGAGCAGTTGTTTCATGGACTCATTTTTAACCCCTACAATCAAAAGGATTTGTTCACTTTGGGCCCAAAAATATGGGGTGTACACTATATAGAGACATGTTGTTTTTTGTTGTAATTCTGTTTTCATTGACATTGCTGCACAAGAGGGGAAGGTAGCAAATCGGTGGACAGTCTTCTGTAGACGGAATCCTGGAAAAGGATCCAAGTATGACCCGGTTGGGTTTCCAATCCTTGAGGGTGGTTGCTCCTATATTGTCACGCCCTTTCTGAAGCGGTTGATCCCCGCGGGAGAGGTCCTCCAAACTGCTTCCCAAACCGGGCTAAAGTGCCTCCTTGCTGCGCGGCCCATTCCTTCTCTCCACTCCTTTCGAACCCAGACGCGGTCCAACCGGGTCCCCACCTCCGGCCCCGGTCGCGGGTCGAGGACGCACCGGGGCCCAGTGCTGGCGAGCGCCTTTAGCAACCGCGGCACCGACAACTTGGCGGAGGCGTGTAGTCACGACCGGCGTGAGTGTCACGACGGGAGAACGACGGCGAAGGACACATGTGTTTTGTGGTCCTTTTTGGTTCGGGTGGTTCTGGAGGCCCCTTCTATGAGGGCCTATGAGGGCCATGGAACCATGCGCATTTGTCCAAAGAAGGAGTCACGACCCAGTTTCTGGGTGGTGCTGGGACAGATTCCTCAAGGCCGAGAACGGATAATTCGGGTTGGGCTACAAGGGGTACCATCATTAGCGGCGGGTCAGCGAGCGACACGATGAAGGACGATCAAGGTGTATACAGACCCCCAAATAGAAAAGCTATGTGGGATTTTCAAAAGGTTTTGGACACCATTTCTATCTCTTTGGGGGCCACTATGCTGTAAAGGCATTTGCGGCACAATACGAGTCACTCATGTGGGGATGGGTCTTTGTTAGCCTCAAACCCTGGTCCAACCATGTCGCGAACGACCTTCTAGGTAGGTCCTTCATGGTCAATAGTCAACCATGGTCAACCAAGGTGTCCTGGTTTTGACTCACAACCATGTACACTGTTGATGAATCACCCGCCCGAGATGAAGAGACTGTACAATTCATGTTTGGGGTTCTATGACTCCAACAATAACAAGAGTTTGCATTATAGCATGGAAGTGGGCAGCTGCGGGGTACCAGGCAAGGCAAAGTGCACATCACCCCAAACAATTTTAAACAAAACTGAGAAACCAACAGTGAGTTCAAAGAGAAGCTAGCATCTCAATTGAGCATTCCAGGCCACTCAAGCGGGAAGAAACAAATCAGGGGATTGATGTTAGGCAAGTTTTAAACAGATGTGCGCTGACTAAAATCCCACTCGAGAAGCGATCGTTTTGGGATGATTTTAGGTTGTCAATAGCGTGGGAGGTCGAGACTGAGTGGATCACATCGCGCAAACCTGCAGAATTTTCAAGACTTTCTGTTCTGGGAACATCGGTTTACTCGGTTTTCATCGGTTTGTCCCCTGTAGATGTTCTCTCGATGTCTGTTATTTTTTAAGGATGGACATCAGGCAGGGAAGTTTGACGCTTCGAGTTGAAGAAAGCCACCTATATAAGCCAAGCTCGCTCGCTGTTTTTGGTGCGCGGTCTGCAGAGCTCAGCTCCAGGTGCTCCACAACCTTGGAGTCCGCGTGTTAAGGCCTTGTTTTGAAACCGGGAGCTTTGCAGCACTGGTGCCACAGGTTTCATTGTACGGCATGTTTTTTTCCTGATTCCTACTTGTAGTAATATTGTTTTGTAGTTGGGAGGACTTCTGGGTGGGGCGGGGTCCTGAAATCAGGCTGAAGACTCAGTCCTGTTGATGCAACTGCTTGAGTTTTTGGGCCTGTTTTGGGATAGATCAGATCAGTGATCAGTGAAAACACTGCCTCTTTTTCCTTCCATTCTGTTCCTGTTGCAAGTTGGGTTTTAGATGGGCCTAGAGTGATCGTGTTTGGGGCAGGATGGGTCTTTGTCCCCAAGATCGTCCATATTCGCCGGCACCTCAGTTCCTGGCAGCTCACTTCTGCAGAGCAGATGGCTGGTTGCAGGGAAAAGACAAAGTGAAACCTCACAGTTTTGTCGACTGGGATTCTGAAACTAAGGGTGTTTCCGTGCTTGTCCCACTCAGGTTTGCACACTTTAATGCTGGCAGAGAAGCCACGAGTTGAAGATGGGCCATAGTGGGCCCCACATGGAGAGGTCGCAGACGGCCGCTGTGTCTCCAAGGTTTGAAAGCAGATTGAGAGAATGTGGGAGACAGCCTGCGGCTCAATGGCCAGGGTCAGAAACCATTGTACTGGGCTTCTTTGATCTTCTTGGTAGGTTCTAGATACGGTCAGTGTCGCATACGGTGTTGTCATCCTCTCCGCACTGGCTCTTGAATCCGTTTGGGATCACGTTGACCACTGGGGCATTGTGCTCTGCTGGAGCTGCTAGTGGCTCCGATCACCGCAGGCTCGGCTGACTCCGCAGACTCTGAGGCGTGGTGATGGCGGCCTGCGACATGCCGGGTCCCCTCAGACATGTCAAGGTCCCGCTGACGCTCGATGAGCACGCCGGCTGGATGGGGTATGGTCGAATCTCATCCATGCAAATACTAGAGCAATCGGATCCGGCAATACTTCTCTTTTCTGTTGGGGCAGCCCGAGTGCTCGGCACCCTAGTTCTATGCAAAAGTACTTCTAGCACAATATTTTTGGAGGTTCTATTTTTTGGGGTGTTTTTTTTTAACGACAAGTTTATTTTCTTATTTGTTTCAGCAGATTTTGCTTTGCTACTGTGGGAGCCACCCCCAACAAACACCCCAAAATCGACAGAAACATCCAAGCACACGTCCTTCACCAAAACGGCGTTTTTTAAAGGTGGACCACACCCCACTGCACCGGACTACGAAATCTGCACTACTTCTTCCACCAATTGTACTTTGCTTGTAACGAGAGCTGTTTCTCTCAAGTGCCGAAGCTGTTTCTCTTTCAAGCTCAGCCACTTAATTTACCTTGTGTTCGTGGTTGCTGTAAATAGCAGCGAATTGTGCGCCCCAACGATTTTGTGACACATATATACCCGGAACAAAAAACACACGAAAAACATCCGAATTGAAAGTTCACCCGTTTTTTTGGCCAAAACTGGGGGTTTGCTTGCCTGCTCTCCGCTAGCGCCACCTTTTATGTCAGGACCTTTTCATGAACCCATTGAATAGAACCCAAACCATGGAGATGCGAACTGCCCAGGTACTGTAGTTACTATTTTGATCTATTTTGAAGTATTTTCTGAATCAACCATCAGCACTTTCCATAATGACCACTTCAAAGCCTTTGTCGTCACACATCGAACACAGACAAACACCTCGGAACCGAGACTCGGATCTCATCTCGACGAAGGTCATGGAAAGCATCGACGTCCGGAGACCACGGGCAGAGAGAGAGAGAGAGGTTCTCTGGAACTATAGCTGCAGGATGCTGCAGGTCAAGATGGTGTGAGGACTGTGGGGTCAAGATTGTGGAGCTCAAGATTGGGGGGGATGGAGGGGACTTGGTAGTTGCAGAGGTTTGTCGTTGCCTCATCCTGTGCCATTTGACAACGCTGTGTCATTGAGATGGGCAGTCGTTCAATAGGGCATTTCTCCTGATCAACCCCTTCGTGCTTCGCATCAAGCGTCAACTTACTAACAACCAATTGGCAGTTTGTGCTACATTGCGCTACCATCTCTTTTTTAAGAGGGCTTCCCTCCTTGGTTTGAATGCATGTTGCAGCTCATTTGCTCCAAAGTTGCTGGAAGAGCACGTGCCAGCCACATGCCCTAGCTTTTTCATGACAGATTCATGCTTTCCCATTGCCCAGTGAAAGTCGATGCCCCAAGTGGCACTCTCAGCACTTGAAGCACCGCGACTCGCTGCCCTCTCGCGGTGAACAGCCACCGTTCCGCACGGAGCATGTGTTCCGAATCCGGCCTCGGCCGGAAGGCCAGGGAACGGGTCTGAAGAGAGTGGACCTGGACGGGTTTGAGTACAGTTTCTGATGTTTTATATTTCATTATACCATATTATACCTTTGCTTCAGAGGACTAGGAGGGGCGCCCTTCGCCTCTTGGTGCAGAATGGCCTTCTATCACACTGGTGCTTGGTTTGGTGCTTGGCCACTGAATGGCCATCATGGGGTAGCTGCAGCAATCTTTGCGAGCTCAGAACCTGGACCGTACAGGCACCTGTTTGGTTCAGACCAAGGTCACCTTCAAGGCTTTCAAGGGTCAACTCACAACTCACAACTGCAAGGTCACCTTCAAAGCCAACTCACAACTTCGGCCCACGATCGCCCCCTCGCTTGCCACCCCTTGGCCATGGCGCCCAAGGGTCGTTGGACGTGCAAAACCGAGTGCCCGCCTCCAAGGGTGCAGCGGCGCGACGATGCGCAGCAGCAGCTCCAGATCCGGACGCCACCGAGCACCCCGCCGAACCGACCGGTGCCGAGCGCCGCGCCGGAGCTGGGCAGGGCGCCAGCGGCAGGTCCACAGAAGCGGCCGGTGGCTGTGGAGGTGGCAGACTTGCAGAATAAGATCCGAAAGATTGAGAAGGAGTCGGGGATAGGAAGGGCATGAGTCGGGGCTGATAGGAAATGGTAGGAGAGGGATTGGTCAAAGGATGTTGACGAGTACAGATCTTCATACTTCAATTTTCGTTGTAAATTAGGGACCAGCCGCTACAGTAAGCTTTCAAGAGTTTCCAGGATGTAGCTTCCTCATGCCCAGCCTGACGTGATGAAAGCCAATGCCACTGCCCCTGTGAAGGGGCTCTTCAAAGCTCACAAGAGCTCCTTCAGCCTGGATTGCCGCGTTGCTTCCAGTGAGTCGCGGAAGGAGGCCTCCGAAAAACAGGCTGAGCTGCAAACAAAGCTCTCAACGCTTCGTGAGGCACTGAAGCAGTTGCAGGCCAAGAGTGCGACTGCGGCGACCGTGGCGAGTGGTACATGCCAGACTCCGAATCTCAGATTCAGTTCAGTGCGTCGGAATCCTTTGAATGGGCGCGCAGAGAAGAAGAAGGGCCGGATGAAAGCAGCGCATGAATTTGCAGAACGAGTCAGAGAACACCATCGTTTGTCTGCTGCCCTGGCCCAAGAGAAAGAGAAGCGCCTAGTGCTTGAGCGGCAGCTGGAAGATTTGAAGAAACGTTTGGCTGCCAGCTCGGAGGACTGTGTCAAGCCAGAGATCTTATAGTAAGCACCCAAGTCTTCAGCCATTGTCTGGTAGATCCGCAAAGTCACAAGTTTTGGATTTTTGGACGGTTGTGGTGTAAGTGTAGCGCATTCATGCGCATTCTATATAATTCTACTAGTGCACTAACTAGGGGGCGTTTCACGGGCGGGCTGATCAGTGCGACACCGCCGTGCATGGCTTCGCACATGTGGCACGCCATCCGGACAGGAGAATGCCCGGCTGAGGGATGCAGGACGAGGGACGCGGGGGAGATCTGGTCCAACGTGGCAATTCGATGTGGAGGGATGCTGGTACGCGTGGCCATCGGAGGCCAATCATCAGATACATAAAGCTTCTTGGACTCGGAGAAGTGCTGGATTTGAGGAATTGAGCAGGAAAGACATCAATGAACATCAATCAACTATAAACAAAGCCTCAGCAATGGGGGGATAAACTCTGATTCCATACATGCCATGGAGCACCCATTGGTTGGGATCCAGTCATGTTGAGAAGCACCCAGGTCACCCAGGCTAAAGTTCAACCTTTGCAAAATATGCGAAATAGCTTCAGCAAATTCCCTAGGCTTACTTGGCCTTTCTTCGTGAGCCCGCCCACAATCGCTTCGCCACCATCGACTGTGATAACATACCTCGCACCATGGTCGACTTCCAGAGGATGCAGCACACGAACTGTGAGACCAACAGGGTCCGGGGCCTCCGACTTTCATTGGGCGTTCCAGAAGCATGGACCAGTACTCCTGCAGCCTTACTGCAACCTCTTGAGGCACCACCTTGCAGAGAGGTTCGGAACCCTGATTTATTGGCCAAAGTGCGTGACATCCTCCAATCCACAGGTCATGCCTGGGACAACTCGCAGGTTTGTTCTTGCATGCAGACCGCCAGGATCAAGTCCATTCAGCGGATTGAAAACTGGAGCCTTTGGCAGAGGTACAAGGCGAAACGTGCCACCATGAGGCGCGAGCATGCCAGCTACGAGGTTTCAGTCACGCCCGCAGCGCTGGATTTGGATGCGTTGGGGGATGACCTTGTCATGACAGGCAACCAAAGTGCTTTTGACTTTGACGAGGCTTTGAGCCAAGATGTTGATGAAAAGATCTTGTTGCACGGCACATCCGGGCAGAATGCCAATGACATTGCCATGAACGGCTTTCGCCATCAGACCTGCCATGGTGCCATGTACGGCGACGGTGTCTACTTTGCATCTTCAGCGTGCAAGAGCCATGAGACAACATGCCAGCATCATAAGTCTGCGTGTCGATGCACGTGTGAGCGAACGTTGATCATTGCCCGTGTGGCGCTAGGAGATGCCTACTATGCGAGAGAAACCAGGTATGGTCAAAGCAAAGTGCCCATCAAGACCGAGAGTGGGGTTGCTTATGACTCTATTGTTGTAAATCCTGGCCGCATTGCTGGTCACAATTCAACTCAAATGCATCAAGAGTTTGTGATTGTCGATGATGAGCAAGCTTATCCATGCTATGTGGTTCAGTATGAGTTGTGAACTTGCTGGAGGGATTTCGGAGATGCGCATAATTTTCCACCCTGCAGTTGAAAACAGGACTTCAATGGACAGCGAATGGGCACTTGCCTTCATCTAGCATGTGGGGTGTGAAGGTGAGGGGTTCCGGCTCCGGCAATACGGGATGTCTATATGATATAACATGCATCTATAGATACATACATGCACACCCACATGTATACATATCATATACGCATGCATATGTATATATATGTATACACATACACATACACATAGAGTTAAATCGTATTTTACACCTCGAGTGATAATTATGTATATAGCTCATTATCGCTACTGATAGATGTGTGGGAGCTTGCCTGAAAGACACCGTTTTGCGGACCCGCTTGAGGACCCGTCGTACCGCCAAGAGCCACTGCATTTTTGTTGGCTGCTAATTCATCGAACAAAGTGTTCCAAGTTGTTTGGAAAAGATCTTCAAAAAGCAACAACGCACACACACACACACATTGAACATGATTGAGCAAATCTGGTTACATTCGGGCGAACATGCCGAATTGGCAACGTAAACAAGACTAAGACCTAGAGGACTCGCCTAAAATACTGGCGAGTTGAATAAAGACTCGACAACGGTCTAATTAGTCTATTTTCCAGCCGTGTTTGTCGGCCAAAGACGAGCCAGCCAATCCAAGTGCTGGCATGTTGACAGTCGGCCATTTCGGCAGGTGCTCATGAGCCGATGGCGACCTGGGACCCCTTTGCAGATCCTGCGGATGAAGAGGCGGGTCGTTTCGAACCATCCCGGCTGCTTGTGCTATGCGAGGCGTAGGGCGTAGGCACCGTTGTCCAAAGAGGTCCTTCTCCTGAGAGGAAGATGAAAGAGTCAGTGGTCTTGGGTCGACATGTGTCGGTGGTGCCAGGTGCCTCCAAGAGCTGCTGGGCTGGCCGCAAGCGATTCTGTAGGAACTTGGGATTTAAACAAGAACGAGTGGCCGAAGTATTTTGAAGTCAAGTTGAAGTATACCATTTGGGATGGCATTGAGTTACAGGCATTGTGTTTTTCTTTCCATTTTATGTTTTTTACATGTTTTTCCCCCACGTGGCCAACTCAGCATCAGTATGACCTTCATTCACTGCATCTGCACCATCGGGGGGGGGGGCCTACGTACTTGTAGATCTTGTAGGCCCCTTTCGCCTTTTTCAGCCAATCTCAGCAAAGGCAGACCCGAGGAATTCGACCTCGTTCTCGACACCCAAACGGTCTCCACTGGATCCGCCCGAAGCAGCGCAGCGCTGGAGCTCCGTGCGCGCGAGATTTGCATGGCGCAACTGGTCTTGCGTCACTGGGCGTAGCAAATGTTTCTTGTTCTTTTTGCCAGGGTTCCTTCCTTAGCGGTTTTGGGATGGCGGGGACTTGCCGGGGGGAGGGGAGGCATGGACTCCAAAATGCCTGCCTGTATGAGAAGAGTTCTTGGGTTTCGAACAGGACTCCTCATCCGATTTGGATGATGTGTCCATTTTGAGGGCTTGGTCTTATGAACCACCATTGAAAGCAGAGTAATAGCCATTCATTTGTGGCTTAAAAGCCTTTTGGATTCTTGCAGCGAAGTCCAGCAGATGGTTCCTGGCTATGGTTCGAACCAGCCACGCGCATAGGTTTGCAAAGGGATAGCGGGTAGTTTTTTCTGTGACATCTTTTTCAAGCTGACCAGCAAGACGGGATCATCCAACGTAAAGTTTATGTAGACGCTTGATAAATTCATGAAACTCACCATTTGGATCGTAAACCTCTTCATGTGTTTATTGGTGCAGTTCAAAGAGTTTACATTATAATAGTCGCCTTTGAGTGATACGCGCATTTCGCTTCGCATCTCTTCAAGTGAGCCTCACTAACGGTTCATGCAGCCGCAGTGGTATACTCAGCTCAGCTGAATCTGAATTCTCATAATTTCTCGCAAACTCCATGGGCTAGCTAGCTACTAGATTTGGTGCACCCCTGTGGCTTCAAGCAAACAGCGCACATCAGGGGGGCTGCCTTCTCATGCACCATGTTTTCCTATCTTGCAATTCTGAGGCCTCAATCTGATAGATGCGATGCAATCGGCCAGCCCACTTGGCTTTCGTGAGGAGGTGAGAAAGCCGGATATTCGTCCACAGCGCGAATCAATCGGGAGGCTGAAGGGGTTTTCCAGATATTTTGTAAGTTTTTTATTCTGTCGACCTCAAGCGCCACATTCTGCGGTATCAGAATGTATCAGGGATGTGCGAATCTCCAAATACCGTGGAACATCACACAGTATCGTTCATGCCGGGTAGTGCCGCTGACTGGGGCGGTCGCTCTGCGCCAAGGCAACACAAACGGTATTCAGCAGGTTGACATTTGCTAGCTTGTTGACTTAAACTGCAGGGGCTAGGCTACAATTGATTTAATTCCAGAAAAGAGTCCGTGGAGGCCTCATGAGCGGGACACCTGTGAGGATGCTGCGCGTGTCTCCGACCACGCATGGTTGTGGTGCGCAGAGCATGCGATCCCCTGGCGCTTAGCAGAGCTGGCAGTGTGCAAGGAGCGGAAGGAGCTGTGCCAGGCTCTTTGACGTTTGGGAAGTCGCATTCTTTGATCTTTTGGGAGGGAAGGGGTTGGGGGACAGAGTAGGAGGAAATGCGTCAGATGTAGCACGTATCACTCAATATCACTCAAGGTACCAATTGTTTGGTCAAGCGCGTCCCAAGTAGAAGGAGTTCTTAACCTTTTCTCTGCATGAGCTCGTCTGCACTCGCCTTCGCGAAGGGTGAAAGCAAGGCCTTCAAAGTCTCAGCCTTTAGCACGCTTGGCAGGGCTGAAGCGCGCTCGGCACAGCCGCTCGATGATGATTTTTTATTTTAATTTTTCGGCTTTCATATTATGTTACTGTAATTTTCCTCACTGTGCTAGTGGCTCCGGAAACCAACAAGTGGGATCATAAAAGCAATGAAGATGTGTATACATATTATGTGCATGCACATGTAGATCATGAACATCTTAATTACATCAATTTATGACGGTTTCTTTTGATGGATGAACTTGAGGGAACCTACAAGTGTTCAGCTTCAGATAGCCTCCGCCGGTCTTCCTTGGATCACCGGCGGTCAACTCCTGAAAGTCTAAGATGCCTCGGTTCTTCTACCGACAGTCCCAGGTGCTTTTCCTTCGTGGCTGGGCAAGAGAAACGGAGAAACGAAGCGCCCAACTTTCACGTCGAGAAGATCTGTTTTATCTTTCTTCTCGTGGTCGTGGGTGGTCGTGCGGGGTGGTCGTGCGGTTCTTCCAAGAAAGCAGGTGATCCAACTCCAAGTGGCCCACTGACAGTGGTCACTGAAGGACCTAGCAGCTAGCAATCGAACGGGTCACTGAAGGAGCGTGCAAAAACGCTTACACCTTGTGAGACGTGACCATGTGAAGAAAGTATTGCCTTAGGCTTATATAGGTGTGTTTATACCGGATTCATCCGGATTCCTTTGTCGAGATCATAGATGCTTTGCACTGTTGGGAGACGTCAATGGACGTCAATCGATGTCGCAACATCGAAGATTTGGCAGGAGCCGCAGGTGCTAGGAACAAAAAGCATGGCCTTCCCGGAGTCTTCCCATCTATACTTACAACTTATACAACTTGAAATCTTGAAATTCTGAGCAGATCCTTGTTTTTCTAAGGTTTGGTTGATTTATATGGGTTCTTTAGGATGCATCAGTTTCACTGGGTCGCTCTCAACTCATTCTGGGTCGCCACGTACCAGGGTTTGTGACAAAGCATAGGTCTGGCTGTTGATGCGCTAATACCTATATATATATATGGTTATAGAGCCTCCAGCCTCCAGCTAGCCCTCGACTCAGCCAACCTTTCCATTCAAGTTTTCTGCATGAAGCGAAGGTTTGCCCCATCGGGGCACTACTTTTCCATAGGGCATGGGGTGGGGGCCTTGTAAATGGCCGGAGCAGCTCGTGGTCGCTGAGGTGACCAACAAGCACAAACGCAGATGTGTTTGACCAAAGAGGTGGTTTTCAAGTAATTGCTTTCGAGCTCCTGTTTTTGGCCAGGTTTTGGATGGTTTGGAGATGTTTCGGGGTTGCCTCATTCGATGCTTTTGAGGTTGACACCATGGAGTTCTACCCCTATGAGTTTGACGATGGCAATGGCATTCAGCGAACGTTGGTCCGGAGGGCTTTATCTTGCCGCTGGGGACGAATCCAGAAAGAGTTATAGCCGCCTACCAGCAGCATGTGGGGCTGTGTAGATAGACGGACGTGTCCTTGATATTTGCTGGCACTTGGCGAGCAGACTGAACAACGAGGGGAACCATACAAGGTTGCATTGCAGGGCGAGGCGTGCGCGATAGGATCACGTGTGGCAATCCTAGCATGGGCAGACTCGCAAATTCAAGATGATAGTGTCTATTGAATGCCTATGACGGGCAAGCTAAAGTTCTACGACGTCCCTACCCAGAACGCTGCTGATCATGTGAGGTGTATATTATATGTTTATAATAAACCCTAGCGTTCAAAGACCATGAAAAGAACGGTTGAGCTGGTGGTCTAGTGTAAATATCCTTAGTAAAACATTGGTTCTTTGGCAAACACCATTACAATGGTTGTTTGAAACCAAACAGGTATAGTTCTTTGTCCCCACAGCTCCACGTCCTTCGGACTGACCGTCTTCTCGTCCCGAACCGTCGTGAACGGCTGGAACCGAGGCTTGGAGGTGACCGAGGGTGACAGCTTCTCCTGGTGTGCGCAGCTCTGCCAGGACTTTGATCAAGAGATGCTTGGATCAAGACTGTCATGGTCAGATGGATAGCATAGCCAGGTTGCGAGCGAAGGCGAGCGAAGATGGATAAGGAAAGTGCAAACCTTGATGACAGACAATGTCAAGATGGGTCGAGGTGGGTTGGTTGCTGCTTTTCAGAGTGGAGTTTGGGATATTTTCAGGGCTGTAGCTGCCGTAGATGTGCGGGTGTCCAGCAGATTTTTCAGGAACACCTCCTGGATGT